GCGCTTATTAGGAAGTAGACACCAAGTCGTCTTTTATCAATGACAACAGAAGGAGCAGAAAACTGCCCGCCCATCCTATGCATTAAGTAAGAGTCTTCCCCATTCGCCACCCTATGGAAAGACACTGATTTCCTCAGGGAAAATCTACTGAGCAGAGCACACAGGGCTCAGTGCCAAAGTCTGTTAGCCCTGTACACTTGGGGAATTGTTTTCCCCAGCAAAACAAATCATTTTTAAAAATGCAAAATGTACAATTAATTCAGAAAGAGCAAAGCCTCAACCTCTATTCTATTTGACCTCTGCAGAGTGCACACTGCTGAGTGCTTCCTCCTTCGAGAAACTCCCAGACATGGCTTTCTCTGATCCCTTGCTCTCCCCCTGGCCTCCTTCAGGCTCCTCACCTGCTCCTGGAGCTGCCAGCAGGGAGCTCCTCATCACTCAGGCCTGAGCACCTTCTCTCCACATTGGGCTGCCTCTCCCTGGGGATTTTGCTCACTGTCAGGCTTTGGCTGTGACCTATACTCTCAGGAGATCCCCCAACCTTCCAGGGGTTCCAGGTCCACATTTCCCAACAGTTTACATTGATGCCACTCAAAACACTGTCCGCATTCAGAAGCATGGGCTTTCCTTGGGGGCTTGTCAGAAACATAGACTCCCGGGCCCCATATAGACTTCCTGAACTACGATCCACAGCGTATCAAGATCCAGTGATGTACTGAAGTTTGTGGAGCACTCGTCTATCCTACCCATCTGGACACTCCACCATAGCTCACATTCAACCTGTCCAGGCAGAAGGCAGGCCCTTCCTCCAAACCATGAATGTCTTCTTTGTTTTCCATCCTAGTGAATAGCTTCTGTCCAGTGTATGGGGTGGGGGTGGGGGGTGGGATGTGACGGAGAGTCAACATCCCCACCATGTGGTTGCCTCACCTTATAATGGGCTAAGAACAACACAGAGCTGGGTCCCACCTTCTCCCCCAGGAAACACAGGGATACTGAAAGACATCATGTTCTATACGGAAGCCACCCTAAACTTCACAACCACACAAAAAGACTCCCTCCAGTATCCCTGTGACGTGGCTCATTTGAATCTCCGCCCCGTGCCTTTTCCCTGCTGTCCCCAGTGCTGCTTAGTACTACTCCAGGCCTGCTGGTATCCCTACTCCAAGCCAGAGGGTCCCCCCATCAGGAGAATATCAGTCCCGACAGTCTCTCTCCATCGAGAAGTGTCTTCAGGGCCCTGAGAAGGCCTGCTCAGTGGGAAAGTGCAGAGCACAGCAGAAACTCGTGGCTGCAAGTACCTCATGCGACATAATGTAAGCGGACTCCTTGGGTAGGGACACTCAGTGGGAGTCTTTTGCTTCCTGAGCTGGGAAGCAACTTTGATGCATACTATATTAGTCAGAATTCTCGCCATTGCAACCTGATGAGCTTGAACAAAACCAGGATTTAGAAGGTAGGAAAAGAGGGTAGTTAATTGAATCAAAAGAAGATCTGAAAGGAAAGAGAAAAGTCGGGGGATTCTAGGGTCTGGGAGCTAGGATTCTGTGCTTTCCTCCCTGCTTCTCTCTCAAAGTCTCCTTCATTCTTCAAGGCTTCTCTACTCACCAGAGACATGGCTGGAGGCAGATCTGATATGTGGCATCCTAACTTCGCTGCCCAAGGGAAAGATGGTTTGTTTCTCCCAAGGATTCTGATTGGCCCAGGCCAGTCCTCTTGCAAGCTTTGGGCCATTTTTTGTGGCCTGGAGCAAGAACCCCATTCTTGGCCCAGCCTAGGTTGCAGTCATGCATATTGGAGGCTGAGTGTTGAACAAGGGCGTGAATAGTCCCTAAAAGCATCAACTGGTTTAGTGTTCTTATCCCAAGTGAGTGTTTGGGTTTATCGATGTGTGGGATGACCCAGATGACTATGCACTAAAAAATACCAAGTGCCCCATGTCATTTTCACTCCAGCAAGTATCAGGAAGGGTGTGGAAAGTGGGGGGCGGGGGTGCTGGCTTTTTCTGACTCGCCCTGTGAGCCAACAAAATCATGATGCTTTAATGAAGACATGATCCCAGACACATCCCAACCCTTTCCCCCCACAACATGGGGGATTTAGTTCAGAGCTTTAGTTCAGAGCTTGAGGATGCCATTTTTCACTGCCTTGCTTCCTGCCATGTTTCCATGTTTCCATGTTATGCCTGGGTCAAAGTTCACCACCAAACCTTAGAGTATCTATGAGCAATGGGTTCTTACTTGTCTTGACTTCATTTAAATGTACAAGCAATTGTCCCTTTTATAAACTGCTTTAATATAGTTGTTTCAATAGATGCCTGAGAGTAAAAGCAAGTTGATGAGCTTTTCCTAATTTCTATTTGATATGCTTCCCTTTACTTATCTTTAGAAATTTAAGGCATGGTTAGTGATTTATTTGCTAGAAAATAAACAAGTAGACCCATTTTTTTAGTTTACTATGACAATAATGTCCAGATTTATCATCCCAAGGAAGCACCAGGGACAGATCATCCATTGCTTCTAGTTGTGAGCTGAACTGGGATGGTTTGCTTCTGGAGATAATGGTGGGATGAACTCTGCTCGGACGTGGACGGTACCTCCAAGATTCCTTAGGGAAGCATTTTCAGTAGGGGTGATGGTCTGGCAGGCTCCTTTTATACTCTATGTCTATCTGGTCCCCCAGACACACAGCATAGGGTGGATTTATGCAGTTATGACCAGAATGTTGGAGAAAAAGTCTGGGTTGACTCTATAACAATGACCTTTAAGACTAACCTGCAGCTACCAGCTCTGAAAAGCTCGTGCTCTTCTTAGTGGCATGTGTTTATTTCCATATATGATGGCCCTAAACTCCCTCTGAATTTAAGGACATGGGTTTAAGGGTGATTGAAGTTCAGTTCGGTTCTGCAGAAGGCTGGGGGCTCCCTACGCTCTTGCCTCTCCCCACAATCTTCTCTCCATGTGCCCCACTCTCCACCCCAACCTGTCACCCCCCGGGAGCCCCACTAGCCCATATGGCTCCTCGTGCAAATGAAGAAATCACCCTCCTTTCTCAAAACACCAAAGAGCCACAGTCTGCTGGAACATTGCCATGATAAAACAGGATATGCTGCCCATGATAATTATATGAATTGTGTGCCAACCATATATTCTGCTCTCCTAAAGAATGCTCTGGAAGTTCCAGTGAATCCTTCCAGGTGGTATTTCTTCCTCAAAAGCTGTGTGGTTTATTCACTATCTTTGAAATTTGGCAGAGGGGAAGGGAATGAGATGCAGGTATAGGCCAGAGAGAATGACTTCCTCTTTGTAAAGGCAGGTTATTTCTGCTTCTAGAAAATCTACCTGCTCCCAATGTGGACTCTTTCCAATAAACCACAAGATGTACTCATAAGCTATCATGGGTCTTTGGGAGTGTTACTGTAGAGCTAAGTTCATGGACAAACATTTGCTTTTTGAAGCTATTGTAATGAGAGCCTTACACTGTAAAGTTTTTATTCTGAAGATAAGTACTGGCTGTCGCACGAATGTTAACACAGTGTACTGGGAAGCAACGTATAGTATCCAGAATCTCACAGTATTCGTTTTCCCGTTACAAGAATTCTATGACAGGTTAAGTCACCTTAATATAAACATGAATCTGAGATAATTAGGGAATAAGAAACTTGACCGAGTGCACATGGCTATACAGAGGAGCACAACTCACACTCAAGGCTGTGTTTAAAATATATAATTTACCGTATATACATGATCCATTACAAAGCCAAACAATTTCTGCAGTGTGCAGTAAATAACCGCCCAGAGCACACCCACACAAAAAGTGTCCTTAAAACAGTCGACAGGATGTCTCTCTTCTAGAAGGTCTCCATCTTCAGGTAGATCCTGGATGTTGCATCAGTCCACACAGGGCAACTTCAGCACAGATGTATTTGCCCCGCATCCCTGCCTGAGCCCAACCCAAACACACGAGAAATCACACGTGAAGTCAAGTTGGGAGAGGCACTTTACAACAGTAGGGTGTTTAAAACACATTTTTCCAGCTCGGCTTGCACGTCCTACTCTGCTACCCCAGTGGAACCAGGCAAAAAAACTCTGCTCACACAGGAGCGGACATTCAATCAGAGCTGGTAACCTCGGCACACTTCCAAGAGGCCCACTTCCTCCAGTGTGTCCATCGATGGCTAGCTCCCTCCCTTGCTCCTTTGGAAAACAGTGAGTAAGAACTTTCTGGAGAATATGAGTTTCTATAGCAATATAAGTCCACCGTGCTAAAGGGGGAGGTGTCCTTTAGAATGGTGTGCTACTCGCCCCGCATCCTTGGGTGATCACAGGCGGAGAAATGGCCACTGGCGTATCTAGAGACAGTGGACCGTTAGCTTAGACATCAAAGTTCCCCACAATCTGCCTCTGCCCTTAAGTCACCAGGGTCAGTGCATCTATTTAAAACAAGAGATGCTATCTTGAGTGACCACTTGCAATAAGCAGTTCGCTCTGATCGAGGTGCCCTAGAAATGTTCTCTGACCTTTTGAAAAACCAATTAGTACATATCTACCATCTCACACTTTGGCCTATAATGGCATTTCCTCTAGCTATATACTATGAGCTTGGTATCACAAATACAGGAAGAGTAGAAGATTAAAATAAGATTTTAAAAAGATTAAAACCCAAAGAAAGGAGAAGAAAACATGAAGAGGTTTGGCTCAGCAGAAAATCTCCTTGGGTGCTCTCAGAATCAGAGTTCACACTGCTCAGGGCTCAGACCCAGACACATCCTGTCCCGGGACATTCGTCCAAGGGCTGTGGACCCTACTCTTTGATGGAGAGGAGCCTTGTACCTCGTGTGTCATGCCTCTCCTCGAAGGCCCCTGGGACACCGCTGGAAAAGGGCTCCTCACCACACAGAAGGCACGAGGTAAAATACAAAAATAAGGATTTTGTTTCCAAGATATCATAAATAACTGGGGTGGCAGGCATTAAATACGACCACAGAAGAGGACGCCACGTTACAACTTGTTCTCCTCAAAGAGGATCTGGGCGTAGACAGTGCTGGTGGGGAGGCCTTTGGCAGCCCGGTGGGGTTTGACCAGCTCCAACTCAGCGTAGGTCAGGTTCTCCTCGGCAATCTTCGGCTAGAAGACAGAACACAACACAACTCGAGCTGACCACAGAGAGTTCCACACCATACCTTCATTCATCGGGCGTGCATTTTCACTGCATTCTGAGGATCCAAGGGGGAACAGGTGGACACAAATTTTCCAAGGGTAGATAAAACCTAAATAACATAATAATACAGATCTCATTGTCTTCTAAAGAACACTATGCCCTGCAAAGAGACATCATGATTTATTCTTAAGTTGACATAGAACACTAACAAAAAATGATTAAACATGAGGCCACAAAATAAACTTTAATTCTTAAAATAATGTTAACAGTTTCTCTCTTTTTTAAAAAAAGATTTTATTTATTTATTTGAGAGAGAGAGAAAGAGTGAGCACGAGAGGGGGGAGGGGCAGAGGGAGAGAATCTTAAGCAGACTCCCCACTAAGTGTGGAGCCCAACTCAGGGCTCAATCCCATGACCCTAAGATCATGATCTAAACAGAAAACAAGAGTCAGATGCTTAACCAACTGAGCCACCCAGGTGTCCCACTAACATTTTTTGATCGAAAGGAAAAAATAAATAAATAAAAGAGAGAGAAACAAAAAATTCTAGGAATTAATAACAAAATTAGAATGCCATCTAGACATCTCCTTGAATGACTTAACCTATACAAAACTAAAGCTCTGGAATATCTTGATAATGATGAAAAGGAAAATATTACTTGCTAGAACCCAAAGAATGCAGTACTCACAGAAAATTCACAGTCTTAAATATTTATATTAATAATATGAATTAAATGGATCAAGCACCCAATTAAAGAAGTTAGAAAAGAACAAAATAAGTGAAAAAAAAGTAGAAAGAAAAACCAATAAAATTAAAACCAGACTGTATGAATCAGAAAGCAGAACAATAGTAGAATTATAAAAATACCCAAAAGCTTGTGCTTGGAAGACACCATAAAACAAATAAACTGAAAAATAAATTAATCAAGATAAAATGGGAAAAAAGCCCAAATGACTAACATAGGAAATGAGGAAGGGGATATAATGTAAATAAATTTTTTTAATTAAAAAAAACGACTTTGCTCAATTCATTGCCCCAAATTTCAAAATACAGGATAAAATGGGTAATGTTCCAAAAATATAATTATAAACATTAACTCCAGAAAATATGAATGTACTAATTATCATCAAAAAAAGAAAGAAAAGGAAAAGAAAAGAAGGGAAGGAGGGAGGGAGGAAATACTGTCAAAGAGCTCTTTCTCAAGAACACCAGGCCCAGGCAGCTTTATAGGAAACTTTCTATGAGAAATTCCTTTAAGAAAAAGATAAATCCAGTGTAATTAAACTGATCCAGAACATTAAAAGAAGAAGAAAAACTTCATGGATTTTAAAACAATCTATTAATGTAAATTTTAAGTCAGATTTACTCAGAATGAGGAAGCATATTAAAAGGCAGGTAACTGTGTTCCAGGAATGCAAAGACGGTTCAATATTAGAAAAATCTACCAATACAATCCACGATAGCTATAGAGGCAAACAACAATACGGTTATCTCTACAGATGCTGGAAAGGTGTTTAGTAAAATTAAAAAGAAACGTTTTTGTTAAAAACAACTTTTGAATGAAGGAGGCAGAGGTGTATATTTTCCTGCCATGATTAAGGAACATAATTAAAATAAAGAATAATTGGTGGATTACTATGGAGTGATGTCAGAATCACACCAACAGGAGTCATTCCTTTCTTCTCTCCCCTTCCATGTACAACTAATTGGACATCCATAACCAAAAAGAAAAACACCTCTGCACAGCATACCAGGACAGCCAAGAGATCTGACCATCTGGGCACCTAAGGTGGGTGGACGGGACTACAGAGGGAGGGTGGTGTTGGTGACGGAGCCAGCGGTGGCATGGGCTGTGGTGGCAGAGAAGGTGTGGGCTGCGCCAGCAACCAGCCAGCACCACCTTTCTGGCAGAGGAGGTGGAGGGTGAAGGCAGTGAGTGAGTGGTGGTCGGCCTGGCTATGTGCTGCACAGCTGGAGGGACCAGTTGCTCTCTCTGAGGAGACCACAGGGATGGGGGAGAGGAAAAGAGACTGAAAGAGGACCATCCCCACTTCAGGATCCCCCTACGGAGCAGTGGGCACACCCCAAACCCCAAGCACTGAGTATACACCTTCCCTACTCACCCCTGCTCTGCCCCACCTTTTGCTTTTTTTTAAATGCATAGTGCTCCCAACCTGAGCAGCCTGTCAGAGCCCTTAACATAGAAGCCAAAAACTTGTGTTATAGCGCCACCTTCTGGAAAACAAAAGGAAGGCTCCTAACTACCAACCTGTTGAGCGGTTAGAATCAAAGTAAACAAAACCTTGCCTACATTTTAAAAGAAGGTGTTCACTACTTCAAATGCAGTGGCAGAACCACTTCTCCTCAAATACCATGAGGAGTTCATATTACTGTGATATGAAAACAACCACAGTTGTATGAAATATGAAAACAGTAATATGAAAACAACCACAGTAACATGATATCACAAAAATAAAATGACAATTTTCCAGCAACCAACGACATGGAATATTGTAACCTAACTGATAATTTAAAACACTTGTCATAAAGAAGTTCAACAAGCCACAAGAAAACTCAAGAAGATAATGCAGTGATCTCAGCAATAAAACTAATAAACAGAAGGAATACTTTACCAAAGAGACTGAAATTCTAGAACAGGACCAAATAGAAATTCTGGAGCTGAAGAACTCAATAAATGAGATGAAGAACGCATTAGAATGTACTGGAAATACAGCAGATCATATGGAAGAGAGAATTGGTGAGCTCAAGGACAGAAAAATAGAAATGATTCTGGTGGAAGAGAAGAGAGAACTGAAATGTTTAAATAGTGAAGAAACCATGTGAATCATCTGATTCTATTAGAAAAGCCAGCATAAGAATAATGGGTATCCCAGAAGGAGGAGAGAGAGGAAGAGAGCCTATTTAAAGAAAGAAGAGCTGAGAACTTCGCACTCCTGGGGAAGGAATGGGATATATAAATCCGCAAAGCTAATAGAACACCTTTATTATCTCAGTGCAAAAAGACCCTCTCCAAGACACGTTATATTAAAACTGTCAAAAGTCAACAATAAAGGAAGAATTTTAAAAACAGTGAAGGGGGAAAAAAGACAGTAACCTACAAAAGTACCCCTGGTTAGGCTATCTGCAGATTTCTCAGCAGAAACTCCACAGGCCAAGAGAAAGAAGAATGACATAGTCAAAGTAGTAAAAGATAAAAACTGTCAGCCAAGAATATCTGGCAAAGTTATCCTTCAGAAATGAAGGAGAAATAAAGGTTTTCCCAGACAAACAAAAGCTGAGAGAGTTCACCACCACTAGACCTGCCCTACAAGAAATGTTGAAAGGAGCTCCTCAAGCTGAAATGAAAAGATGAAAGTAAACAAAACTCTGATTAAGGCAATACATAGAATTAGAATATGATAACTCTTCTTTAAAATAGTTTATTATCCTCTTAACTACAGCATGAAGGTTAAAGGAAAAAAGCATTAAAGATAACTACTATTACTACAACTTGGTAACAAAATCAAAGTATAAAAAGACATCATTTGTTTTTTTTTTAATTTTTGTTTTTTTTTTTAAGATTTTATTTATTTATTTGACAGAGAGAGGGAACACAAGCAGGCAGTGTGGGAGAGGGAGAAGCAAAGCAGGCTTCCCGCTGAGCAGGGAGCCCGATGCGGGGCTCGATCCCAGGACCCTGGGATCATGACCTGAGCCGAAGGCAGAGGTCTAACGACTGAGCCACCCAGGCACCCCTAAAAAGAGATCACTTGTGACATCAAAAATATAAAAGGGGAGGGGCGCCTGAGTGGCTCAGTCAGTTAAGCGTCTGCCTTCAGCTCAGGTCATTATCCCAGGGTCCTGGGATCGAGCCCCACATTGGGCTCCCTGTTCAGCACAGAGCCTGCTTCTCCCTTTCCCTCTACCTGCCACTCTGCCTACTTGTGCTCTCTATCTCTCTGTCAAATAAATAAATTAAAAAAAATCTTTAAAAAAAAATAAAAGGGGAAGAGTGAAAGAATGGAGCCTTTATAGGCAAATGAAAATAAATTGCTATCAGCAGCAAAAGGACTATGTTATCTATGAAATGTTTTGTGTAAACCTCATGGCAACCACAAAGCAAATATCTAAAGCATAGACACAAAACATTAAAAAAAGGGGGGGAGGAGACTATGCCAATAACCTTGAAAAACCATCAACTTACAAAAGTAGACAGAAACAGAAGGAAAAAGAAACAATGGAACGACAAAATAACCAGAAGGCAAAAGACAAAATGGCAATAGTAAATACTTACATATCAATATTCATCCTAAATGTAAAATGGATGGAACTCACCAATCAAAAGGCACAAGTGGCTGGATAGATAAAAAATAAAACCCAACTAAATGCTGCCTACAGGAGAATCATTTCAGCTCTAAAGACACACATAGGCTTAAAGTGAAAAAATGGAAGATGATATTCCAAGCAAGCAGAAATGAAAAATTAGGCATAGCCAAACTTATATCAGACAAAATAGACTTCAAGCCAAAAAGAGTAACCAGACAAAGGTCATTATATAATGATAAAGGGGTCTATATATCAAGCAGATATAACAATTGTAAATATATATGCTCCCAACAACTAAGCAATGAAATTAAGTATACATTAATTATATTAAGTAATTAATATTATTTAAGCATATTTGTATATTATATATTAAGTCATTAATAAAAGTAATTAAGTAATTAATAAAAGACCATAAGGGAGAAATAGACAACAATACAATAATTGTAGGGGACTTCAATACCCCACTATCAGCAATGAATAAATCATTCAGACAGAAAATCAACAAGGAAATGTTGAAATTGAAACATACTTTAGAACAAATGGACTTAACAGACGTATACAGAGCATTCCATCCAGCAGAATACACATTTTCTCAAGTGCACCTGGAACATTCTCCAGGATAGATCATGTTAGTCCACAA